TTTTGAAAATATAAATATGGACGATAAATACTTATAGTTTTTCCTTCACGCAATTTGAATTTCGCGCTACGTTATCTTTCCAACTATCCGCCAGATGGCAGTGTTTTTTTTCACTTTCATAAACAACATCAATCGGTTAGGGTATAAGTATCCGCGATATGTACAGAATCTTCACAATATCTCTTTTATTTTTAATTTTATATATAATCCTTGATCCGAAGGGAAATAATAATCCCAGATAGCACGTAAGCTTGCAGCAACCTTGCGGCAAGCTTGCCGCGTAATATTGCCAACCTTGCATGGAAAGTTTACCGCAAGCTTACAGCAAGCTTCAAATGTTCCACCTAACCCAACCTTACATGGTAAGCTTGCCGAAAGATTGCACAGTAAGATTATCGCAAGATTGCATGGTAAGCTTACCGAAAGATTGCGGTGTAAGATTATTGCAAGATTGCACAGTAAGATTATCGCAAGATTGCTCAGTAAGCTTGCACGGTAAGCTTGTCGAAAGGTTGGTGCAAGGTTGCTAAATAACCTTGCCCAATCAGCAGAGAAGTTTGCATTGAAAATGAGGACTATGCGCACTTGCAATCATAAGCACTTACGGCTGCGCAGTAAATTTTTTTGACCTCCCAGGAACTGGTGCTCAATGTATGTACAAAAATAAATTTCCTCCCCCCCCAAATTTTTTTTGTTATATTCCGCAAGCTTGGGCCAAGCTTGCCATAAGGTTGTCGAGAAAATTTGCATGGCAAGCTTGCTGCAACCTTCTGTGCTGATTGGCAAGGTTATTTGGCAACCTTGCACCAATCTTGCGACAAGCTTACCGTGCAAGCTTACGGAGCAATCTTGCGACAAGCTTACCATGTAAGGTTGGGTTAGGTGGGACATTTGAAGCTTGCTACAAGCTTGCGGTAAACTTGCCATTCAAGGTTGGCAATATTGCGCGGCAAGCTTGCCGCAAGTTTGCTGCAAGCTTACGTGCTATCTGGGATGTTATTATATATAATAAAATATAATATATAAATTGACTAAAATAACTGGTCCAATATTTAGCCAATATTCAGTCTTGTCAATTTCCCACTGGGTGTTTACGAATTTGAATTTTGTTTTTGAAAATTCAAAATGGCGGGTAGAAAATAGCGCCCAAAATATAAAAAGTTGATCAGATTTACCTGGAACTTTTTACTCGGGGGTTTTTGGGGTGGCTGATTAATATAATTGAAGTAAATTTTTGAAAATTTAAAATGGCGGATCCAATTGGCGCCCAAAAAAAATAAAAATTTGGTCAGATTTGCAGATTGATAAGTAAAGCTCAAAAATTTTAACTCGGAGGTTTCTACTCTTTAAATCTGTATTTTGACGTTTATTAAATGAATTTTAGTAATTTTTAGATTACTCTCTACACAGAAAATTAAAAGGCATTAAAATAATAAGCGTTGCAGTTTATTTTAATGCCTTTTAATTTTCTGTGTAAATTTGAATTAGTAAAAAGTGAGCTACTAATTCACATTAGTAAGAATTTTTACTAATTTTTAGTGAAATATTACTATTTGATTTAGTAGTTTAAAATTTTTTTACTAAAATTTTAGTGAAAAGTGACTAAAAATTAGTGAAAATTCTTACTAATTATTACATTAGTAGCTCAGTTTTCACTAATTCAGATTTAGAGAGTATGAGAATGACACATTGTGTTTCACGTTAAGTACTCTAAAAAAAATTTATTTGATTCAAATACTCGATTGCTTGACTATTATCAAATAAATATTTACTTGAACCAAATAATTTTTATTTGAATTAAATAAATTGTATTTGAAACAATAATTTTTGTATTTGAAACAAATACAACCTCAAATAATAATTATTTGATACAATTTAATATTTATTTGATAATAGTCAAGTAATCAATTATTTGAATCAATTAAATTTTTTTTTTCAGTGTAAAGACCCTCCCCCTACCCCCTAGAACGTGACATCATATGTGAACGTTCCCTAATCCCTTTATAATAATCTTTATATTATACACAATCATCTTCTGTTTGGAATTTCCACTTTCTTGATTTTAGAGGGAATTTTTAATTTGTGGCTCTTGTTATTTAATAAAAATATATTTGACATGTGCTTTAAGTATAATGATAACACCTTGTCTTGTTGGTTTTATAAAATAAGTTTTTTTTTTGAATTCTTAATATAGATAACAAGATGCTGTTTACACTTTGGGGGAAAACCCACATTTCTCCGATAAAAATATTAAAAAAAAAAAATACTGCACACAGACTTCTTTCAAGAGAAAATTATTTTGCTCTTTTTTTCGTTAATGAGCACTGAATAACAGATCGATTGATTAAAATATGAAAAAAACGGAATTTTTCAATTACTAGTAATATGAAAATTATATTATTAATTAAAAAAAATTTAATTAATAATAATAATAATTTTTTAATGTCTAGGAGAGGCAAATGGTTTATTTAAATTATATATTCATAATGAATTGATTGAAACTTTTTTTTAAAAAACATTTGTAGACGTTTGGAATTGATTGAGTTGAATTGGCTTTTAAAAAAATGAAACATGAAACCTTGTAAAAAGATATTAGAAGAAAAAAGAAAGTTCCATTAGCGTTGAATTTCATGATCGTTTAGTGTCAGTTGTCAGAATTTCAGCCAACTTGTGAAAAATCAAAGCTTATTCTTTTTCATATTTTTTGCACTTGAAAATTTAAAAATAATTAATTTCTTTTTTAAAAAAAGATTTTAATCTTGAATTTTTTGAAAAAAAAACAAATTTTTCTCTAAGGATAATTTACAATATTGACAAATTGTTTATATTAAATTTACTGAATTTTAGCAAAGAAGAAAATAATGTTAATTTATTTTTTTTTATTTTTAGTTGACGATATAAATCTCATTTGACATAAATATTATTTGTCATAAATAAAGTTTTGAATTATTGGAATAGTGAAAATGTAAAAAAAGACAATTTTTTTTGCCCTGTTCTTTATTTTTTATTTTAAACCCAATGTTGGCCTATTTTTATACCTATTTATACAGTTTTGTTGGAAACAATCTCTGCTTTCAAATAAAAATAAAAAAAGTAAGGGGGGGATAAGGGGTTAATAATGAAAAATAAATGTTAATTTTGAAAAAATTGGACTAAAAAATTTTTTACCATTGAAATCTACATGAAAAATCCAACAATAAAACGTACTTACAAATTAAAATCCATAAAGTTTTTTTGATAATAAGTTTATAATTTGAAATTTTGTTACTTTCATTTAGGACAACAATTTTCCAAAGTACACTGAGAAAAAAAATTTAGTGTTTGCAACAAAATTGTATGGTTAGGCAATTTTGGTTCTTGTAACCAAATTTTTGTTGGCTGAAACAAAGTCGTAGGGTTATCTCAACCAAACATTTGGTTAGGTCAACAAAATTATTTGGTTGAACCAAATGATCGTTTGTTGTTCTAACCAAAATTTGTTTGTGACAATCAAATAGTTTGATTCGCTCTTAGCTCATAGCTTAAGAGAACAATTAGATTTTTCAAAGTCCATAAATATTTTAATTGGATAAATATAAATTCAATGTTAAATTGATAAATAAATAATGAAATAAATAAAAAAGATAAGAAGAAAAGAGATAAGGTAGAATAAAATTTTTAATTTTACAAAAAAAACTGTTTGTTTAATCAACCAAACTTTTTTGTTGACTTAACAAAAAAAAATTTGGTTGAGCTAGCCAAACATTTTTGTTATGCCAACAAAAAAAACTCAACCTAATTTTTTGGTTGACTCAAACAAATAGTTTAGTTGCTTAAATACCAACAAAATTTTTTTGTTGGCCCAACCAAATTTTGGTTGCTCTGACTAAACATTTTTCTCAGTGTATCAATACAAACCTAGAACATTTTTTTGTAGTGACTTTTTTTCAGAGAATGACTCTTTTATGTATTGTAGACAAGGACAGATAATTTAATTTTTATGACAAATGAATTTATACCAAATGAGTATTATGTTAAATAAAATTTAGGGACGCAAAACTATGTTTTAAAAATCATTAGTTAGAATTGTCATTTTATGGAATTTTATTTGTCATAATTATTTTTGAGCCGAATTTTTATTTGTTCGAATTAGTATTTCATATTAATTTCCATATAACCGATTTTTCATACTAAAAAAACCAAAAAATCATTTAACAGAATTACTAATTGATCGAATTTTCATTTGTCCGAAATTGCGAATGGTCAAACAAACAAACGACAGAAAGATTTCGTCGCGATTTTTAAAATCATCTAATCAAAAATTATCCATAAAATTGTGAATTGGTTGATTTTAAAAATCGCGCCAAAATCTTTCTGTCGTTTGTTTGTTTGGCCATTTGCAATTTCGGACAAATGAAAATTCTATCAATTGGAAATTCTGTTAAATGATTTTTTGGTTAAGTAAAAATTCTGTAGTATGAAAAATCGGTTATATGGAAATTATATATGAAATAATAATTCGAACAAATGAAAATTCATCTGAAAGAAAATTCTATGCAATGAAATTCTACCCAATGAAAATTCTTTAAAATGCCTATTATGTTAAATGAAAATTAGAGCAAATAAAAATTCTGACAAATAAAAATTCGAATAAATAAAAATTCTGTGAAGTGAATTTTCGGTTATATAAAAATTTTGTAAAATAGAAAATTCTAACTGATTTTTACAACATAATCATGCGTCCCGAAATTTATGTGAAATAAAATTTATACCAAATGAGATTTGGGAAATATTCATGCGAGTCTGCACTCAGAAAAAAATTTGTTTGAATCAACCAAAAGTTTTTTTGACTCAATTAAATTGTATCTTTGTTTAAAACTTTTTTTTAAATACACAAAATGTTTATTTTGTTTCAAATAACCAAAAACTTGGGTTAGTATAAAAAAATTTTATATTTGGTTCAAATTCTAACAAAACTTTTCTCTAAATATAATTTTCAGCTGCTTTGCTATATTTCAGTTATTTTTGTTTATATTGTGATAATATGAATATCAACGAGTCAAAAAATTTGGAAACGAAAATTTGATATCCAATAAGGTGAAAATTATTTAGAATTTCTTGAAAATTTTCTCTCTCCGTCTGTCTTATCACCTAGTGACCTTATCGTATCGGACAGTGCCTGGTACTGTTTATAGATTGCGCAAGTGCCGCGTTGCTATAGACAAAAACCTTTTAACCTGTGTACAGACAAACTTAATCAGGATTAGTTTAACCAGGTAAGCCACGGCGAAGGGCACCTTAGAGAAAAAAAAAGAATAATAATATCAATATTTATCACTTTGACAACAAATATGTACCAAGTTAAATTTTCAAGATTATTCACATTATCACTGTTTCCTTTTTATTCTATCTCACCGATGATGGGATTTCTATTGAAGGAATCTTGTTTACCAACTTATCATGACCAGTTTTGATTTATCACGTGGATAACAAGAGAAAAGAAAGAGAAAGAGAGAGAGAGAAAGGTCAAGGAAAATAGACTCTTTAGAAGATAAAGGAACCACAGTAAATTGGAATTAGATGGTACAATTCATGGTTTGGACGTTATCTACTTCACAGGCATTCTATTTTTATCTTTGAGAGGTTGTTTTTATTTTTCTCAACTTAAATGCTTTTCAGTTGAGAAAATTGTTTATTTGGTAACCTGTGAGGTAAAAAAATACCTTAGGAAATAATTCCCAATTGGCGAGAGTACAATTTCAAAATTGCAAATTGTTTTGAAAATGAATCTTTATTAAATTTTTTTTTTTTTTGATATACAACAGATAACAGATTTTAGTTTAAAAAATCATAATGCAAAAAGTAATAATTGATTTTCATTTTAAAACTTGATTTTGAAAAGAAAAAAAAAGAAAAAAATGGGTGGTACGTGCTCGTGTCGTGGTCGTGAGAATCAGGTGAATTCTGGTTCAATTTTAGATCGTGTTATAAGTCAAGCGGGCAATGAGGATCAATGTCTTCTTTATCGATTGGCTAATTATAAAAAAGGAGGTGAATTAATTGAATCATATAATCAAGGTGGACAACAGGAAGTTGAACGTGTAATGAGGGAACAATTTGGAATATTAATGTACGCCGATGGTAAAGGTCAAACGATTAATCGCGCTGAATATCTAAGATGGAAATTTCGAGATCAGGATCAAGTGATCTTGCCAATTGAAGCATCATTGTCAAGATTTGATCCCCTCTCACAATGGAGTGATCATGAGGCATGCTGGCAAATGCAATACAGAGGGTCATTGGGAGAGAGTTTGCTTCATGTTCTGATCATCTGCGATTCGAGAGTACACACTAGAATAGCTCGTACTTTACTAAAGTGCTTTCCCCGTTTGGCTATTGATGTTGTTGAAGGAGAGGAATATCTTGGTGCAAGTGCACTTCATCTTGCGATTGCGTACAATAATAATGAATTGGTTCAAGATTTGGTGGAAGCCGGTGCAATAGTGAATGAGAGAGCAACGGGTAGTTTCTTCTTGCCCAGGGATCAACAGAGACATCGACCTGCCAAGAACACTGATTATGAGGGTTTAGCTTATTTAGGTGAATATCCATTGGCATGGGCTGCATGCTGTGCTAATGAGAGTGCTTATAATCTTCTATTGGATTCGGGAGCCGATCCTGATGAGCAGGACTCCTTTGGAAATATGATATTGCATATGGTTGTCGTTTGTGATAAGCTGGTAAGATTTCTATACACTTATATTCTTTCAAATTTTCTTTAAAATACCTAGATTGTCTGCTAGAACTTATGAAATGTGTTATCCACTGTCGATTGTTAGTATAAATTCACCTATCATATTTGCGTCTAATCATATCAACAAAATGTTTACATTGATGAAACCAGATTTGGATTTATTTTTTTCGAATCATTTGGCGTTTTTGAAATGCTTAAATCAATATATTGAGAGCCTTCGTGAGTAGTTTTACTTATTTGAGATATTTGTGATATTTTATGTTGAACCTTTATCTATTTTTATTTTTGTATATGGAAATTAGTTATTATGTAAACGAAAAAAATAGATTATCAAGTTTGGCTGGCTCCTCCTTCTTTGTATTTGTACGAGCTAAGACAGGAGAATACGAAAAGAGGGGGAAGCAGGAGGCGGGATAAAAGGAACAGTTGGACAAATCGACAAGCATTTAATGGATAAACATAAATATTCTATCAAATTTTAAATAACCCTAAATTGTCACAATCGTCGTATGGCCTAATTCTTACTTGACCTAATCTTTACCTTGGACTAATTTTTACCTGATTTTATTTTGATATAAAATTTAATGGGGTGGTATTAATCCTACAAAAGAAAATTCTACACCGCTAACTGTACACGAGAAAATTTTCAACAAAATTAAAAAAAAATATATTAATGTAGATAATTTTTAGGCCAAATACAAATTAAGTATCAAAATGTTGTTAAATAAGAATTATAGATCAAATAAAGATTAAATCAAAGAAAAATTAGGACAGATAATTTTTAGGCAAAATATGGATTAGACTAAAAATTATGAATTCACTAAATAAGAACTAGTCAAAATAAAATATTAGACCAATATTCAGTATTTAGTCGTATGCAAATTAGGTCAACTAATAATTCTCTCAAATACATTTTAGACTACAAAAAAGAATAGTTGAAGCAAAAATTGGAACACACATTAGGCTAAATAAGGATTAGATTATTAATAAAGATTTCGTCAAATTAGAATTTAGGTCATATGACAATTGTGACAAAAGATAAGAAAAAAAAATTGACAAATATTAAAATTTCAGTTCACAGAAATTAAAAATCTAATTTCTTTTTTTTAAATTAAATTTTTTTTTTTTAATAATCTTTTTTGATTGAAAAGAGAAAAAGGAAGCTCTTGGATGGCAATAAAAAAAAGGAAAAAAAAATTTCAGGATATGTTCGGTTACGCTTTACGACATCCAAAGTTGCCTGCTCGCAATGGGATCGTGAATAGTGCTGGGCTAACTCCGCTGACACTCGCATGCCAGTTGGGACGTGCTGAAGTCTTTCGTGAGATGCTGGAGCTGTCTTGTCGAGAGTTCTGGAGATATAGTAATATCACTTGCTCGGCATATCCGCTCAACGCACTCGACACGCTGCTGCCTGACGGAAGGACGAGTACGTCGTAAAAGAATTTTAATTCAATTACACAACCACGAACGTGCATATATATATATTATATATGTACGGTCTGATGTCATAGACCTTTTTTTAAAGCAACAATAATTATTATAAACAATCATTAAAATTTTTTTTAAAATTCTTTCGCCATATTGGATCCGCAATTTTTAAATTTGTAAAATTAAGTTGAGGTTAATAAATCAGAGATTCTGAACTCCCGCCTTCCAGTATTGAGACAGTACTGAAGTAGTACAGAATTATTACTGATGCCAGTACAGAGCCAGTATTGGCGTACTACAGAATTAATATTGATGTCAGTACTGACCCAGTACTGAAGTTGTACAGAATTATTATTAATGCCAGTAGTGAGCCATTACTAGCATAGTACAGACTTAATATTGATGCCAGTACTGACCCAGTACTGGAGTAGTACAGAATTATTACTGATGCCAGTACAGAGCCAGTATTGGCGTATTACAGAATTAATATTGATGCCAGTACTGACCCAGTACTGAAGTAGTACAGAATTATTATTAATGCCAGTAGTGAGCCATTACTAGCATATTACAGACTTAATATTGATGCCAGTACTGACCCAGTACTGGAGTAGTACAGAATTATTACTGATGCCAGTACAGAGCCAGTACTGGATTATTACAGAATTAATATTGATGCTAGTACTGACCCAGTACTGGAGCAGTACAGAATTATTACTGATGCCAGTACAGAGCCAGTATTGGCGTATTACAGAATTAATATTGATGCCAGTACTGACCCAGTACTGAAGTAGTACAGAATTATTATTAATGCCAGTAGTGAGCCATTACTAGCATAGTACAGACTTAATATTGATGCCAGTACTGACCCAGTACTGGAGTAGTACAGAATTATTACTGATGCCAGTACAGAGCCAGTACTGGATTATTACAGAATTAATATTGATGCTAGTACTGACCCAGTACTGGAGCAGTACAGAATTATTACTGATGCCAGTACAGAGCCAGTATTGGCGTACTACAGAATTAATATTAATGCCAGTACTGACCCAGTACTGGAAGAGTACAGAATTATTACTGATACCAGTACAGAGCCAGTATTGGCTTGAATTAATATTGATGCCAGTACTGTCCCAGTACTGGAGTAGTACAGAATTATTATTAATGCTAGTAGTGAGCCATTACTAGCATAGTACAGAATTCTTATTGTTACCAGTTTTGAGCCAGTTTGGGCAAGTTATCTGTTTGGGGGAAGCCAATACTGGACTTTGAAACAAATTCAATGAATTATAAAAAAAAGTCCGCCATATTGGATCCGCCATTTTGAATTTTATAAATCTGATTTAAGAATATTGAAATCAGCATTCCTTTTCTTAAGTTTTATAAATATTAAACATGATATACATTTTAATACATAGTTTGAAAGGAAACCTACAATATGGTTTTATAAATATATTTTTATAAATAATATATTGACACATTTAATTTGACATAAAATAAAAAATAAGTATTTTTAATTTCTTAAAAAATTGATAGAGAAAAAGAAATTATGGAAATATAAATTTCATGATACATAGTATATATATAAAGCTTATTTTATTTTTAGACCATATATAGGCAGGAGGTTTGACCTTTATCACACAGATATTTAAATATTTAACCTTTTTTTCCCGTTTATTACTTTATTCTATTTCAATTATCGAGAGTTTGTATTATTCTTACTAATTTCGTAAAGATTTAATAAAAAAATGATAACGCTTTTTTAATAATAAAAAAATGTCATTGTACCACCTACAAGACAAATGGATAATATATATATATGTGATTGATTCCACGTGAAATTTACCTGTGACATTTTAAATTCGGTAAATATATTTTTTCGATCTTTATTGAAAAAAAAGGTTTAATTATTTTTTTATAAGTGCTCAAATTTTTGAGTTATGAATTTTTAAAAATCTAATTTTTTCGAGTTTTTTTTTTAAATACATCTAATTTCAATATGACATCTAATTCTAAAAGTATTGAATTTAGTAATTATGACCAACATACAATAATTCAAGTTATTTGAATCAAATACATTTTTTTTTTTGATCCAAATAAAAAATTATTTGAACCAATTAAATATTTTTGAAATAATTTGAAATATTTGAATCAAATAAATTTTTTTTCAGTGTGGTTTTATTTGACTTCTTATTTGAGTTCTTTTGTCAATAAAATGTGGGTACCCTTGTGTGTTAAAATTTGGATATTGTCACACAATGTAAAGTTTCCGCACAAAGTGAAAATTAAACTTCTTTATATATATATATATATATATATATATATATATGCTTTTAAGTTCTCGCGTAAAGCGGGAGAAATTTTGTCTCGAATTTAAGGACCATCTTAAAGTTCTTTATCACCCAACTATGAAAGCGTAGGTCTAATTACGAGGGCTTAAGTATAGCGAGAAAGTTCCAGCTTGATTTCAGAATCAGCGAACCTCAGAGTAATTATTTTGTTCGCTGCGTCATTAGTATTTTCTCATTAATGTCTGTCGTTCTCTCTTCTCTAACCCCCCCCCCACACAACCCCCCTTCTTCCTCCCCCACCATCCACCTTCCGAATTTGCACTTATTATGACAAAATACGTCTGGATTGTTTTGCGACTAATTTCATGAAAATAATTTTGAATATTAGATTATCAAAATTTCTACAAGTTGAGCTAAATAATAATAATAATTAATCAAAATTATAATAATCACATTATTTATAATCGATGATAATTATTGGAAAAATGATTATTGTTACAATGATAAATCAGAATAGAGGTTAGAAAATAGAATCGTTTTTCGATTAAGGTCGAATACTGCGTGGGATATTTTTCAATGAAAGAGAGGGGATAGCGTTGTCTATACACTGCGCGCGCAACTTTTGTAGAGTGGAAAAAAAAATTAATATAATAAACAATAAATTCAACAGTGAAAATGGGTTTATATTGCTTTTTTAACATTTTCTTAATTATTAATCATTTTATATAAGCGCGCTTTTTTTCGACCTATAAGAAAGTCTTTGCGCAAGCGCAGTTGCGTTTAGATACTCTCATTGGAAATTTTGAATGCGCGAGCATTTTTGTGAGTAGTGGGAGAAACGACGCTCGTTACTCCCACCATTTATCCAAATTTTCATTCTATAACTTGAATTTCAACCTAAATAATTTTTTTCCTATATAAAATTAAATTCTTGCTATATTCATTCAGTTACAAAAATGTTATTATTAGAAAAAGTGTCAGTATGTATATTAGTCATCAGTAAGCGAATAGTGATAACAATAGTAATAAACACAAATATATGCAGTTCTAAAAATAGATAAGACACTTCATAAAAGAAATATTGTTTTTACGAAAAGAAATAAAGTTTCTCATGCGAAAGATGATAATATAATATCTCTCTTTCTGGTATATATATATATATATACATATTTTTTTTATTAGAAAAAAAAAATTCGTCATTGACAATAAAATAATTACCACAAAATTCGAATTGCAATTATACATAAAATAAAAGAATTCATCAGCAAAGTTTGGAAAATTACCCTTGAAATGAAATTAAACTCATACTATTTCGATTAGCCCAGGGGAAATTATATCCTTTTACTGCGAGAGTGTGAAAATTGAGTCCTACAAGGAATTAAACTTAAATTAGTTGAGTGCACTCGTTCATGCGATTAAAATCTCTTTTTTTAACCTCATGTCCCTCAATTTTTAAAACTTTTTGATAAAAATATTTTCTTTTTTTATTTTCTTTTTTTTTTTTGTTTGTTCTTTTTAAGTCGCGTAAACTACGGAAATAAAGTGATTTTTTTTTATTTGCAAGTTTCCACCTTTTTTTTTATTCTACGTCTATTTCTTTTTCTTCTTCTTCTTTTTTTTCCACTGCGTCGAGGGAATGAGAGATGACTGCTCGTAATTAAAAAGAAAAAAAGTAGAACGCAGTAGTAGGTAATGCGGGAAGTTTTCCTGGACTATTTGCGCGCATTTTCAAGTCCAATGACATTTGCAATGAGACACGACGTGGAGGGATAATGGCTTCCGAAACTAAATGAGACGCGTTCTTGACTGGAGGCAAGGCTAATTCCAAAACTTCGTTAAATGTCCCGTAATTGCATCAGGTAGTTGGCAAAACTCAGAAGCCGCACCACATGCGCCTCATGTTATATTTAATAATAATGATAAATCTAATTCCATTAGATTGATTTTCGAAAACAGTTAACCTTTTGATTGACGAGAGATTATTACTGCTTTATATATATAATCTTGTGGAAGAATTTTCACTATCGCATTTATTTTTTATTGTATGGCAAAATTATTGATTCAAATTTTTTATTTGTACCATATTAACACTAATTTAAAGTCATAATAATAATAATAATTTACTAATAAATAAAATTAATAATATTAATATAATAATAAAAATAATAATTTTAGAATTACATAAAAAGTTTTTTATTTTTCCAAAGCTTAAATTTTCAGGTTATGTTATCCCCTGATCTATATGACCTTGAAAATTTGTAACGTTTGTAATTGTAAGAATCAATATTTTAGCTCGCCGAGCCAGAATTCGTTTTGATTTCAACAAAAATAATAACAGGATAATTACAAACTGAAACAAATTATTTATTTACAACGGTATTTACAGGTGGAAAATATACAGGCGAACGTATACAGCGACGTTTTCCTAGGCTTCAACTCGCAGCGATGAGCCGTGAAATCAATTGTAATACTGCCTAAAAATTCGCGATATTCTGCTGAACTACAAGTAAAACTCGTGTTCTAATTATACGAAGAGTAAAACTCTAAGTATATCTACAAACGGTAATAAAACGGAAAATTTTCTTTAAACTGCAGGAATACAATATTTCTTTACTATACATTTGTTACGTTACTTTACCTCTTGATACGTTACTTTACAATATTTCTTTACTATACATTACGATACATTACTTTACAATTCGTTACTATA